TCCTTCATTCATGAAGTGGCCAAGAGAAGAAAAAGATCAGATATAACTGTGTGGGGAGAATGGAAAAGGTTTGATATTTACAGAGCGCAGGAACCTTCTGGATGAAGACAGATCCCACCAGACACCAGTCTGCACCTTGAGATGCTGCAGAGCCTTTGGAGAGCACAGATGGTGCAACACAGGTTGGTGTATTTTTGGACTTCCCGCTGGAACTGATGAAGCTGCAGTGATTTACACCTGCTCCGAGACGGCGCTGGGCCCATTTCCATCTGCAAATACCTAAGAGGACATCTCGTGGCATCAAGTGCCACCCGGGCTCCAAGAACGCCTTGTAGGACTTGCTGTACCACATTACCTTTGATTAACGTGATACTCGTGGTTGCTCCTTACTCTGTTAACTGAGGTAAGTGCAGAGGAAAGAGCCACCTGACAGAAAGCTTTTTTCCTAAATAAATTAATAGAAGGCAGAAGCATCACCTCTGGATCCTGGACAGACACAAGCTGGTGTAAATCCACTGACCTCAGTGACATTTCTTTGCTTTTTTCTGACTTCAAAGCACCTCAGCCTGTTTGCCACTCTTGGGATTTGGCCACAGAAAAAAGGAGCAATGGGGAAGGCTGTTTGGCATTGCTAGAGAAGGACAGGAGACACCCTGCCGCTGCAGATGGGAGGCGATGGAGCAAGCGCGGTGGGATTCGGGAAGGCCATCCAACCAAGGCTTGGGAAAGCGCGTTGCTTGCGACAGGAAAAGATTAAGGATTCTCACTGCTTCTGTTTTAGCAGCAAATATTTTACTTTGCAAATGCAAACAGATCTTTGTCATACAGCAGCTCCCTGGATACTTCCCACGAGCGCTGTGGGCTACAGGAATTCCCATGGACCCAACAGCAGTACGTTCACGATGCCTCAAGAAAGCGACTCCCCACAAAAGTTTCTCTGGCAGCTAGCACGGAGGCCCGGCCAAGCGAGCTAATGAATAACGCTGCCTGCTTGGCCCTGTCTCGGCTCCGATGCCCGCTGTCCCCCAGGCAGAAAGTAAGGGGCACTGGAGGTGTTTTCCACCCCCTAGTTCACCCCAGATGTGCAAAACAACTGGAACAAAGTCATGCCTAGCGTACATAGGATTTTTGATTCTTAAAGGAAGAGCTCCCACCGCATCCGCATCCCATCTGTGCTAGTGATGGTCTGGATGAGCTGAGGTCTAGAGAGCACCTCTGCTAATGAGCCTCTGACTGCTAACAGTCATCACAGCTGATTCACCAGAGTGCGTAACGTCGGTTTACAGCATTGGTCTCTACCGCAATCTGTGCAGAGATGCTGCAGGGGTTTGCAATCAGAGGACAGTTTGTGTCTTCAGCCTGGGCAATCCCATCCTGGGCAGTTAAATCCCACGTAAAAGTATAACTGAGAGCACTGTTTACCTTCTGCTGAAGCCAAGACCTGCTTCTGCTTCACTACAAGAGGAACTGGACAGGCTGCCTAACCTGCTCCCCTTTCAGCGTCAAGGCAAACCAGACAGCGGTCCCAGCCCGGAGTCTTGGTTTAAGGCAAAAGGAACGTGAAAGAGATGCTGGTGGAGAAAAGAGGCAGAGCCCCACGGGCCCCTGCAAAGAAAACCCATGATCCCAACCCAAAGCAGACGAAAGCTTCTTGCTTGACCGCCCAAAAAGAGAGCAGAAGCTTGCATCACCGTTCACCGTGGGACCACCGACCTCTTCAGCCTCTTCCTGCGCACGGTAAATCCAGGTTCATATTTGCTGCAGTGGGGTACTGATCTCCGAGGCAAAAGCAGCCTCCGGCAGGCATGACCCACCCCTGCTTAAAAGCTACTGCCAGAAACCATGAACTTCTGGGAGACCTTTCCAACATGCACCGGCAAGGGTGCAATGTTTTCAAGACAGAGCTTGATCAACTGATGGATGGGATTTCAGGGCTGTCGGAGATAGCCGGGGACTGGCCTGCATGACCCTGGAGGCCCATTCCAGTCCGTCTGTATACGTATGTCGATATTTATCTATCTATCCATCTATATATAAAAAACCATTAGCAAGCTGCTGAGCCTGAACTCACCGCACACTTCCCAGCAAAAGCAAGAGGGACTTGAACGCGCAAAGAATAAATGATTCAGCTCCATCTTGTGTTTCTGCTTTTGACATGCCGAGCAGCACTCCAGCTTGTCAGGATAAAATCCAGACAGCTGCAATATACGTACAAAACTGGGATAATTCAGATTAAAAACCCATTTGCCTCTATGTTTCTCTGAATATTTACCCCTCTCCCAACAGCTGTCCTGAAAGGAAGATAGGAAGAGAGAGGATTTCCCATGATCTGTGTCCAGCTTAGAAATCCTACCTCCCTCAATTATATTCGATTGTGCCTCAGCACAGATTATTTTGAAACGATCATCTGCGAGAACCACACAATCAGCGCTCTGTCAGAGGAAAGCAAAAATTGGGGCAGTTCCCAAAAAGGTCTGTAAAAAGCCCTTCGGTCTCCTTTTCGAAGCGAAGCACGCTGCACTTAACAGCGATTGCCTAGAGCCCAGCAATCACGTACCGACGCGTGAACGCTGCTTTCAAGAACAACAGCTCATCAAGGCACTCCAGGGTCATCGCAGACTGCGGCGGGAATCACGGTCTCCTCGGGTCAGAAATTAAGAGCACAGATGTATCCCGAAGAATATTTTGCACTAAACGGTGTTGTAAGCGTGGAGGAGTCAAGAGCTGACGACTCTGTCCTTTCCTACGAGCTGTAGGTACTCATGACAACCACTCATCGCAGCGAAAAGATCAGGCAAAAAGGGACAGTCACCCTTTTGGTGGGTTTATCTTACTGCCAAAGACCTGTCCGCTCAAAAAAATGACACCCAGATACTTTTGCAGGAGGTTCACCAGCTCAAATCCACAGGTGGTTTGGTTCCTAACGCCCAGTGCCAACCAGGATAAAGCTGGAAACGTCAACAGCCTCTCCCCTCGATTCAGTTACACAGCACCTCAGGGAGCGCTTCCGAAATCACTCCTTCGTGACACCGTACTGCCACAATTGACTCAAGAGACTCTTTTCCCTCCCCTAACAAGCAAACATCAGGAAACAGCAGCAAACCCCTGCGCTGTCATATCAAAAAAGCCATTTTGACTACCTGCAGAAACACAGGCTCACTCAAGGCAAGTGTGACTTCATTTTCTGATTTCCAAATATCTGAGCGCAATTGCACGAAAACCGTCATTCCAAATACCATTACAGTTCCATGTCTGTTAGCTGCATCAACGAAATACTGCATTGCTAAAGCTCTTCCCCGTGAAAAGGTATTTTGAAAGGAAAGCTAAGCATTCAAGGAAGAATAAGCCGTCCTAATCATTAACACAAGGACTGAACCTGACGTATCTGAGTACTCGCATACGAAGTTGTCCAGATGCTCATGCGTGTACCTAAGTGCCTCGCTGCACCTGAATCAAAGCAGGGAACTGCAGCCAAAACCTTACGAAAAGGCCTGGTACCCATTGGATTTCTCTTGTTTTGGAGAACAACACCGACAGTGGACCCGGCTTCACTCCTGCTCTGTGTCAGCACAGACTGAACGGGTTCATCCTCCACCAAGAGCGGGGCCAGGAGGAGCAGACTCTGGAGAACGGGCTGCTCTCGCACAGCCAGCCCTTACTGGGTTTCAAAACAGGCAAGGGGAGCAAGATGCTCACAGCATCCGATGGCTCGTGCCCACGCTAACACGCCGGCAAAAAAGAGCCTCCACGGTCCTGTGAGCCGGTCAGCAGTGACCATGTGTAAGGACAAGGGTGTGAGGGACCAAAAACGCTCTGGCACGCAGGCTTCAGCTTTGTAAGAGCGCAGGAAAGCCGTGGAGGAGGTGTCCCTGCTCCCAGTAAAAGGGGGTTGGGACAAGCCCTTTCTAGCAGCAACAGGCACCACCGTACCCCTTCCTCCCACACCGCAACGTAACGTGGTTACCCTCTTCTCCCAGCCCTCTCAATGAGCATCGCGACAGCACCCACTGACCCAACATGGGGCGCGGAGCTGCATCCAGTGCCCTGCATCCTCCACGGAGCCGCCACGCAGCCCGCCAAAGCACGACAGGGACGTTCCTGGAAAGCGATCTGGCCAAGTCCCTTTTGGCAGGAGGTTCACACACCTCCCCATCTCCCCAAATCTTCGTCGCAGGTTCTCCCACCTGCTCCTGCCAACACCGATTTGCTGGAGCCGAGGACAATTATTTCAATGTTCATCTGAGGAGTGACGCCCATCCCCTCGCGCCCTGTCCGCCCGCGTCCCAGTCACTTCTGCCCCAGTTCCCCAGAGTCACTGGTGCGAGGAGGGAGGGTGGCAGCGGGGTGAATGGGGTTGAGCTGAAGCTAATGACAAGCCCACGTCCCTGCCTCCAGCGCTGGGACCCTCTCCTCCAGCGAGGACATGTGTGGGAGTGATTGCGCTCAAGAGGAGCTGATCAGTATTCAGCGAAAGGCTTTGCTACCGCGCTGCCCGCTGCCGTTCCTCCTCCTCCCAACGACTCGGTGTGCGGGAGGAGGCAGCAGCTCTTCCTCAGCAGCACCCCGCTGCCACACCCCCGTCCTCCCCCACGGCAGATTTCACACCTCCCTCCTCGTGAAAGCATCGCTCCCCGTCGCTTTTCCAGCTCCACAGAGCGGGTGTCCCCAGTCCACCCCCAGGCCATCACCCGCAGGCTCTGCCGGCTCCTTCGGCAGAGCTTAGGCTCGTGGGGGCCAGCCGGCACGATTTGGGGACCCACAGGGGAGCATCATCTGCCCGATGCCAGCCTCCCCGTCCCGGGGGGCAACTCTCCTCCCAAGCAAGGGTGCAAAACGCAGCCCCGGTGTGGGCGAGGGCGGGTGGCGATGCTCCCACCCTGCCAGCTGGGGGAAGGCGGATCGTGTGGGGCACGGTGTGCTGGCCAGGCGGCCCCCCACAGCCACCTCCCAACCGCGGGGCTCGGCCGGGGCTGCTGGTGGAAGCCACCCCAGGGGCTCACCTTGTGGAGCTTCCACATGGCGCCCAGTGCCTTGACTTCGTGGCTGGAGTGCTTGCCCTCCTCCAGGCACTGGTAGCAGACGGGGCTCTTGCACTGCACGCAGTACATGCTGTGGTTCTCCAGCTCATGGTCGGTGCAGGTGGAGATCTTACGGGGGCTGAGGCGGCGGCTGACCCGACCCTGGGCCGGCGGGACCAGGCGATGCTTGGCCAGTGGTCCCCGCGGCGGGTGGCATCGCAGGCGACAGGGATCGCAGTAGAAGACGTCGCACTGCTCGCACATGACGGCCGCCTCCTTGGGCGCCTTCTCGCAGAGCTGGCAGCGCAGAGCCGCCGCCCTGCCTTGCTGGTAGCGGTCGATGACGCCCTCCAGCAGACGATTGCGGGGGAAACCCCGCAACCCGCGTTCGTCCAGCACCAGGCTGCGGTGGCACTGCGGGCAGGTGAGGCAGGCGTTCCGCGGCGGCGGCGGCGGCGCCAGGGCGGCGGGGGGCGGCGGGGGGGGCGGGGGGGAGACGGGGGCACCGGTGGGGGGCGTCTGG